AGAGAGAGAGAGAGAGAGAGAGAGAGAGAGAGAGAGAGAGAGAGAGAACCTTAAGCAGGTTCCACATCCACCACTGTGAAATCATGCCCTGAGCTGAAATCAAGAGTCGGACACTTAACCAACTGAGCCACGCAGACACCCCAATGATTTCATTCTTAAGATTCAAAATATCTTTAAAAAAATGACCTGGTTGAGTAAGTCATATGTTACATATATCTAGCATATGAAAGCAGTCTCATCACTGAGGAAAGAAAAATTTAATAATCATTCACATCATATTCAAAATGTATTAGTTATTAGCATATTTCATTTAAAATAATATTGGGTTCAGGAATAGAAATTTTTTAATTAAATTGGATTGTAGAATACAAAGACTTATTTTTTTTAAGTCTTATGCAGGTTATCCTGTAATAAGTATATTATAGTTGTTTTGTACTTTAATTTTAAATTTATGAAAATCATAGGTTAAAAATACTAATTATATGTGTATAATACATTTATTTTACATTACGGAATCGAATTTTATCACAGGTTTCGTCTTGATATATATCGCTGTTTGGCCAGTCCAGCTCTAATAATGTTAACAGAGGAGGATCCAATTCTGAGAGCATTTGAACTTAGTGCTGATTTAAAAGAATTAAGCCTTGTGGAGGTGGAATTCAGGTGGGAATGAATGGAAATTGTAAATTACATCTTTTTTTTTTTTTTTTTCAGAATCTCTTCAGCCTGAGTTTTTTTCATAGACCAAATTAATGTTTATTTTTATTTACTTCTGATCCAAGGGAACCAGAACTTGCTGCCACCTATTTGGGATTTACCTTCAGATTCAATGGAATAGACCTTGGTATTACTTAGGTCACTGCTTCCCCACCTGCCCTTTGCCATTCTTGCACCATCCTTAAGCACCATCCCCCACCCCCCCCCCCGCCCCCGCCCCCGCCACCTTTATTTAATGTTGCCAAAGGCATTCTAGGACAGTGTAAAGAATAGTGGAAGTGATAGCCTTAAGCAAGAGCAAATTTATTTATAACTCCTCTGTGTTCTACCTCCCCTCATTCCCAGATTCTGTAATCTTACCTGGAGCCTGATCCTTCATCACTTTCAGAAGCATATAGAATGCTTTCTGTGTTTCAGGGCCATTCCACACACACAGACATAGTCCCTTTTCACCGTTTGGTGAGATTTTCTATTAGGAGACACATAACATGTAGACATTAAAATAATACTGGTTAAGAGGGATGAATGCCACTCTGAGTTTTCTTCTGAAACGAAGAGTTAAATGTAATTTTGGCACTGTGTATACTCAAAGAATCATTGTTACAGTTTCTCTGAGATAGTTAAATCGGAGGTACAGAAAAAGGCTTTGGAAAAACCAGCCTGTTAAACTACTGATTTAAATATTTTAAAAAAAAAAATAGTCCTTAGAAAACTACATTTTGTAGACTTGAGGAAAAGCTTTGAGACTTCCCCTTGTGTTAAAGTATCCCTGGTGCTCTCCAAAGAAGGAGGAATTGATCAACATTTCTTGCCAGTTCCTGCTGTAAGGTTTCTGGGGGGCAGGCTATGCCTATCCCTACCTTTCCTTTTAAGTGTAGCTACTGTGGGAACCCCATGTCTTGCATTATACTCCTCTAGTGACTTGACAAGATTGGAAAAATTCAAACTTTTATTTACTGGAAGGGCAATAAGAAGCTTGCAGTTGTCTTATGCCTTAATAGCAGTTAAGTCCTTGACTAAGAAGCAGTGTGTTCTTGATAGCTCTGCGTCCTAGAAACTTTTTAAATATACCTGTTCATAAGTGTTCAGGTTTGGAACTAGTATATTTCAATTTGGATAAATTAAAATTTATTTAAACCTGTTATTACATAAGGTATATATTTTGATGAACACATGATTAAAATGTAACTTGTTGGTACTTTTAACTTTATTAGTACATGAAGCTGTTAGTAAATTATTCCTTTTAAATATGAAGAACTTCCTGTTATAGTCGTATAATTGGAGTTCTGAGTTACCATGTAAAATAGAATTTATTCAACTCCTTCCAAAAAGGATTTAAAGCAATTGCCAAGATTATACTGTAATCATAGGATAACAAAGTTAGGTTTTGAAGTGATCATAGAAGCGATCATTTACTTGTTTTACTTGTTCCTGGTTTTTATAGACAGGAAAAGTGATCTATATAAGTTAGATATCTTACTAATAACAGCATCTAATTAGGAACAGAGTTGTAACTAGAACATAGGACTCTTGGCTTCTTGTTTACTGTATTTCCAGCTAAACTATACAGCCATTTACTAGTTTTCTAGTAATTTGTTCAAGATTAAGCAAATTAGATTAATACAATGTATTAGTTTTACCTCTGAATTTAGTGGTCTGTCAGTGTTTACCTAAAGATGGGACCTCTGTGTAACAACATACACTTTTGATGAATATTCCTATCTGTAATTAGATTCCTAGACTAAGAAGCAGTAATATTTCATTTGTTTAAGAAATCCAATTAGTATTCTTATGTAGTTTTGGTTATATAGTAAATGCAAAGAGTGGATGAGAAAAATGTTAGCCTCTGAGGAAATTTTTTAATTCTTTGAGTTATAATTTTCTGTAAGCTGGTCATAGAAAATCCTATTGTATACAATCCTATTGTAATCATTGGGAAATTTTTCTATTTTCCCTTCTTCTCCCATTAAGGAAAAAAAAACTGAATAAAAAATTATTTTCTGAAATCTGACCCTAATTGATTCATATATATTTCTAACTTTATTTTCAAGTTATTACACTAAGACGTAAGTTTAACGAACCTGATGTTTTTAAAGAGGATTATCTGCTAAAACTTAATTTCTCACAAATTGGTTGATTTAGGCCTGCCTTTAACCAGCAGTTAAATCCTAAGTTTCAAGAAACAGTGATTCTGAAAGAAAATTCTTTACTAGGAGTATTTCAATGTCTTTTCTTCCCAACTTGAATTTTGTTCAAGTGAACACTTTAAAAGTGAATCAGAATACTATTTTAATATCAGAAGTAGCATAGAACATGTTATAGACTATTATTGAAAGCACCTCTGGTTGAGTTACATAGTAATATTTATTGGATAGCCTTATTATTATCTATTGTTTAGATAAGTAATGTAAAAGGAAGTTTTATACCAAACTTACAGAGAAGAAGAGCAAATGAGTTAAGTGAAGAACTGGTTGACAACTATAATCCGAACTTCTAAGAATATCATTATATATAAGGAAATACTGTGCTCATCTAAAATTATCAGTGTGAGCACAGGTAGTATAATTGTGTTACAGTTTTCCCCAAAGCTTTGGAGAATTTATGCACCAGTAGATTCTTCTGACCATCAGCACAAAATGACTTCAGATTTTGTATGACCCTATTAGAATTAAAATGTTACCAAGTAAATAATTTTCTATTGAAAACAGCTTAGAGACTAGAAGTGACATTTCTAATAATAGACTGTTGCATCTTGCAGGAATGATTATGAGGAATTAGCCCGGCAATGTAAAATGTTTGCTAAAGATTTGCTTGCACAAGCCCGGAATTCACGAGAATTGGAAGTTATCCTAAACCATACATCTAGTGATGAACCTCTTGACAAACGGGGATTACTAGAAGAAAGAATGAATTTAAGTCGTCTAAAACTTGCTATCAAATATAACCAAAAGGAGGTATGAGGTTTTCTGTGATATACATAAATTATTTCCTCCACAGTAGTGGAGTGACTCAGAGCAATTACTTAAGAATTAATTAAGGTTATGACTTAGAGTAATAATGCCTTACTGTTTAAAAATAAAGTATCAGATATCATATTTTATGGTTCTTATTTGTTAATTCATTGAAACCCAAAGGTGGAGAGGCACATGATATGATAACTAAATTGAATCTGGCTCTACTGGCATCATCCCTTCCTATTAAGGGAAATACCTATTTCTAATCCACACACACACACGATTCAGGAACTTGACGAAGGAAGGTATGCATTTTAAATTTTATTTTTTGAGACAGTTTACTAACGAGTGTTTATTGGTAGATAATGATATCCAATTAATAGTATGAGGTATTGGTAAATGGTGGTTTTAAGATATTTCTTCTAAGACTCATTTTTATTTTTATTTTTATTTATTTCTTTTTTTTTTTCATTTTTTTTTTTTCAACGTTTATTTATTTTTGGGACAGAGAGAGACAGAGCATGAACGGGGGAGGGGCAGAGAGAGAGGGAGACACAGAATCGGAAACAGGCTCCAGGCTCTGAGCCATCAGCCCAGAGCCTGACGCGGGGCTCGAACTCACGGACCGCGAGATCGTGACCTGGCTGAAGTCGGACGCTTAACCGACTGCGCCACCCAGGCACCCCTATTCATTTTTTTAATATATGAAATTTATTGTCAAATTGGTTTCCATACAACACCCAGGGCTCATCCCAAAAGATGCCCTCTTCAATACTCATCACCCACCCTCCCCTCCCTCCCACCCCCCATCAGCCCTCAGTTCTCATTTTTTAAGAGTCCCTTATGCTTTGGCTCTCTCCCACTCTAACCTCTCTCTTTTTTTTTTTTTTCCTTCCCCTCCCCCATGGGTTCCTGTTAAGTTTCTCAGGATCCACATAAGAGTGAAACCATATGGTATCTGTCTTTCTCTGTATGGCTTATTTCACTTAGCATCACACTCTCCAGTTCCATCCACGTTGCTACAAAGGGCCATATTTCATTTTTTCTCATTGCCACATAGTACTCCATTGTGTATATAAACCACAATTGCTTTATCCATTCATCAGTTGATGGACATTTAGGCTCTTTCCATAATTTGGCTATTGTTGAGAGTGCTGCTATAAACATTGGGGTACAAGTGCCCCTATGCATCAGTACTCCTGTATCCCTTGGGTAAATTCCTAACATAAGACTCATTATTTCATACTCTTTTGTAATAATTTCATAATCATTTTATTATGTTCTTGGATTGTTTGGGCCAGGAATTAGGAAAGGGCACAGCAAGGATGGATAATTTGTCCTTGCTTCTCTATGTTTAGGGTCTCAGCTGGTGATAGCTCAGATGATTGGGGGCTACAATCATCTGGAGTCTTCGTCACTCAAATATCTGGTGCCTGAGCAGCAGCTGAGGACTGAGACAGGGAACTCATGAGGGGCTGGGTGCTCAGGTGGGTGGATCCATAGAGGGTGGGCCACCTGAGCACTTACTACTGGAATCATGGAGGGGCATAGCCATGATGGTGAGTTGACTATGAGGAGATGGTCTGAGAAGCCTCTGAGGGCTGCCCAGAGTGCCTGCATGTAGCCTAGGCTTCCTCACAGCATGGTAGCTTCAGGACACTTTATATGGCCGTTAATGGCTCCAAGAGCAAATGTTCATCAAACAAGGTGGAAGCTCAATGGCCTTTTGAAACCTACCCTCAGAAGTCACATAGCATCACATCTTCCAGCTGATTAAAGCAATCAAACCTTGTTGAATTGAAGGGTAGGAAACACTGATAATCCACCTCTTGATGAGAGGAGTAGCAAAAAATTTGTTTCAATGTTTTAAAACCACCACAAACTTAAAACATTTCCAGTTGAAATTTTGTTCTTCCAATTACATATTTAACATTACTCTTAATTAAATCGTCATTATAGAGAGGGAGGACAAGGACAGCAATCAGTTCTGAGATTGCTTTGATATTTGGGGGAAGGGGAAACCACTAAGTTTGGGATGCTACTAACCTGGATAGTTTGTGAGAAGAAAAGCTATTTCTCTCCCTAGTATTTCATTTTAGAGACAAATTAAGATTCCCTAAGAGCACTGCAATCTGAGCAGAAGAATGGAGAATGAAATAAGACTTCAGTGCCAAAACAAGTATAGTATATTAGGAAATTTCTTTTCTTTTTTTTTTAAGATTTTTAAAAATGTTTATTTATTGTTGAGAGAGGGGTGGGGAGGGGCAGAGAGAGAGGGAGACATAGAATCCGAAGCAGGCTTCGGGCTCTGAGCTGTCAGCACAGATGTGGGGCTCAAACTCATGAACGGTGAGATCATGACCTGAGTCAAAGTCAGACACTTAACCGACTGAGCCACCCAGGCGCCCCCAGGGTAAATCATTTTAAAACAGAAGATTGACCTGTTAGTATTTAGATATCTGAATGACATTATGATCTCTTGTGCTTTGGTAATTTCAAACCTGATCACATTATTATGTCCAGAGTTCAGAACCCTGGTGTTGTCCTGCACAGCATGCACATTATATTGAGAAAATACTGCTTCTGAAATTTGTAAACTCAGAAGCCTTTGTAAACTTTGGTAAATTTATTTCTGTACTTAAACTAGAATTTCCCTCTTATTTGGCAATATTTTTCCTTTTTTTTCCCTTACATAGAATTCAGTCTTAAGCAGATTTAAGAGTATAATACATTTTAAGAAGTTTTCAATGTTTTCATGAAGCGTAAATATGTCTCATGTTTAGACTTTGATTGCTATCTTCGTATCTTGGTTTCTTATAATTGAAATCCTGTTAGTTCTTTGAGATCAGTTTTTTCCTTTGGATTGTGCTCGTTAACTTTGAAATTTCACAAACATTATGAGACTGTCTATAAATTAAAATTTGCAAAATGGCTAAGTAGGCTAGTAATAATCATTAAGTAATGACTAAGTAAGTGATAATATAATTAATACTTATATGCTGCATGCTATGAATCAGGCATTATTATTCTAAGAGCTTTACATTTAATCCTTGCTAATAAGTTTATGAGCAGAGACTATTATCACCATTTAATAGGTGGGAAATTTGAGGCTTAAAGAGGTTTAGAGACTTTGGGACGCCTGGGTGGCTCAGTCGGTTAAGCATGTGACTTTGGCTCAGATCATGATCTCACAGTCTGTGAGTTTAAGCCCCTTGTCGAGCTCTGTGCTGACAGCTCAGAGCCTGAAGCCTGCTTCAGATTCTGTGTCTCTGCTCTCTCTCTGCCCCTTCCCTGCTCATGCTCTATCTCTCTCTCTCAAAAATAATAAACATTAAAAAAAAAAAAAAAAAAAAGAGGTTTAAAGACTTGCTACATGGGGCGCCTGGGTGGCTCGGTCGGTTAAGCGTCTGACTTCGGCTCAGGTCATGATACCGCGGTCTGTGAGTTCGAGCCCCGCGTCGGGCTCTGTGCTGACTGCTCAGAGCCTGGAGCCTGCTTCAGATTCTGTGTCTCCCTCTCTCTCTGCCCCTCCCCTGTTCATGCTCTGTCTCTATCTCAAAAATAAATAAACGTTAACAAAAAAATAAAAATAAATAAATAAATAAATAAAGACTTGCTACAGGTCAATTATTAAATGGCAGAGCCTGGATTTGAATCCAGGTAATCTGGCTCCAGAGTCTGTGCTCTCAATCTCTACATTCTTTTATTAAACGTAAGAAAAACAAAAAAGAAAAATTATGTGGATTATATAGAATTGATTTTAAACTATTATTAAAACTTTGAATGTCAAATAATGGTATTATCAGATTGTATTTAGAGGTTTTTTTTCTTTTTTCTTTTTTTGTATGTGTGTGTGTCATTTTCAGTTTGTCTCCCAGTCTAACTGCCAGCAGTTCCTGAACACTGTTTGGTTTGGACAGATGTCAGGCTACCGACGTAAGCCCACCTGTAAGAAGATAATGACTGTTTTGACAGTTGGTATCTTTTGGCCAGTTTTGTCACTTTGTTATTTGATAGCTCCCAAATCTCAGTTTGGCAAAATCATTCATACTCCTTTTATGAAATTTATTATTCATGGAGCATCATATTTCACATTCCTGCTGTTACTAAACCTATATTCTCTTGTCTACAATGAGGATAAGAAAAACACAATGGGGCCAGCCCTTGAAAGAATAGATTATCTTCTTATACTGTGGATTATTGGTAAGTGTCAAGTTTGTCCAAAAAGTTCTGCTTTTATTTAACCATTTAATTCTCCTTTGCTTGGTGGCATTATAAACATCTGTGTTCGGTTTATAATTTTACACTGTTTATACAGCAAGAATTCGAACACTTTCATGATCATTGAAGACTTATCTAACACTATTCTAATGATATATGATCCTGAACTTATTTATTATTACTTAATTACATGAAGTTAAAAATTCTTTATTTTCAGTCTCTAAAATTGTTCATGATCATTAAAAAAGAAAAATTTTGCTGATGAATGCTTTTTTTGGTATAAGGGTATGAATCTTAGGTATTTTGAAATGTGATACATATTATACTTGGTTGCATTTTAAGAGTTAACTATTTTGTTTTATTGTATCATTAGTTTTCCTTTTAAGAACCCATGAACTTATGAGGTTACATTTTTATCTGTTATAGAAACATTATTTAAATTTAAATTTAAAGGTGTCCCTGGTGACTCACTCTATATAAATCAGTTCTTTGTAATGATAGCCAGATCTCTTTAGAAATGACAGAGTTTTTAATATGATACTTTATTTTCTGAAAATTATTTTTCTAAGTATTATGCTGTATGATACAAATTTGAAATGACCTGTAGTTTTTATAATTCTTGCCCTTTTCTGTGGGGAATGGAGGAGAGTTGAGGTATAATCACATCGTCTATTTATGGTCTTTTTTTTTTTTTAATCTTTATTTATTTTTGAGAGAGAGGGAGAGACAGAGTATGAATAGGGGGAGGAACAGAGAGAGAGAGAGAGAGAGAAAGACAAAGATTCCGAAGTAGGCTTCAGGCTCTGAGCTCTCAGCACAGAGCCCTACATGGGGCTCAAACTAACAAACCACAAGTTCATGACCTGAGCCGGAGTCAGACGCTTAACCAACTGAGCCCCTATTTATGGTCTTTTAATGACGTCTTTATTTCCCTCTGGATCTTCAGCCTTGTTTTTAAACTCAGCATTTCTCACCCGTCTTTTCACTATTTGCTATAGAGTAAAAGGATGTTACAATTTAGTCTTCTATGGTATAAAGCATTGATTTATCAGTATGTTCTTCATTGATTTAATAAATAAGTTGAGAAAAATTAAAGTATCATTTTAACTTTTAGTTCTCCAGCTATAAAATTAATCTGCATGTTTTGGAACTTTAATTTTTTTTTGAAGTTAGTTAATTTCAAGTAACTTGATTTCAGTCAGAACTTTTACTTTTAGTGGTGTTCAATCCATTATGCATTAATGTTTAAAATTAGGTAGATAAAGTAAAAATAATACACATCTTGGATATGTTAAAACATTCAGTTGATGATGCAGAGCAGTCAAGAACATTGTTGAGTTTTGAAGAGGGGTTTAGAGGTATTATTTATTGTATAAATACAGGTCAAATTTAGAGGTATAAATTTGAAAGTCTGCCCACAGATAGTATTTAAAGCCATTAGACTAGACTGGATAAAGTCACCGTAGGAGTGAGCATAATAGAGAAAAGAGTCAGGAACTAAGCTTTTGTGGTGTGTTTGTGTGTGTGTGTGTGTTTCCTTATTTTTCTTATGCTTGTCTCACAAGCATCATTTATTAAAATCTCTCTCTGGGAAAGATATTGTCATATAAAACTTAAGGTTTTTTTCTTTCAAATTTTGAGAACTTTTCACTAAAAAGTTCTTATTTTTTCTTCCGGATGAGACTATAGTTTGATGTAAGTTGCTGTTTATTTAATATTTTGAGTTTTAATTATTTTTTAGTTTATTATTGAATTAAGAACATTATCTGATTTTTTTTCTTCCTTTTTTTAGGGATGATTTGGTCAGACATTAAAAGACTCTGGTATGAAGGGTTGGAAGACTTTTTAGAAGAATCCCGTAATCAACTCAGTTTTGTCATGAATTCACTTTATTTGGCAACTTTTGCCCTCAAAGTGGTTGCTCACAACAAGGTGACTATTAGCTATGTTAATTGGAGACATAAATGAAGTTTGTGTAGGAAACGTAGCTATATAACTCAAAGTTAACGTTGGCCCAAATCTGTACCTGATGTGTTTTCATTTTAATTTCACTATCCCAGTGTAAGGGAATAGTGTGTATTGTTTCCTCCCTTCCAGTAGTTTAAAGGATGTTAATAACTTTTAAATGTTGGTTACCTATTATATGCCAGGCTCCATGGTTGCTACTTGCTATACTTTATCTCATTTTATCCTCACAGGGACTCTATGAGACAGATGTCCTTATCCCCATTTTGCAAGTAAGGAAAAGGAAACTCAGAGATATTAAGTAACTTATCCAAGACCACACAGTAAGAAACCAAGACTGGATTTAAATCCAGGTCTGTCTAGGCATTTTCTTTCTACCAAATGCCGATTCCTTATATCTGAGTTAGGTTCATTTACCTCATTAACGTGTATCTACTTAAAGTGAGAACACAAAGATACTTCAATTGATTAGTGTTAGTCTTCTTTATACCTGCCAGAAAAAAGTTTTATCTTTAAGAATTCATTATAGTGTTGTACACATTCCAAATCATGATTATTAAAGAGTGATGTAAATGTGATTATTTTTTGATGCCTCTTTTTAAATTCAGAATTTGACAAAAACTTAGTTTTATATGCATCTTATAATTTTACCAAGATGTAAGCTACTCCAAGCCCAGAAAAGATAATAGATTTTAATTATCTTTGTTTAAGCCCTAAGTTTAGAATTCTTCTAGGGTGTCACAGTCAAGGAACTAAGAGATAATAATATTTTCGTGTTTTTGGACTAATTTATGGACTATAGAAAAAGAACACTGATTCACTTACACATCATTTTACTTTGTTAAAAGAAAACTGCATACTTTTAAATGATCAGTAGTATGGAACATGTTTGTTAGGTATTTTCAATGACCAGATTTGTGAAATTACTAAGAAAATTAAAAAATGATCATACATAGATAAATGGCTCAATAAAGAGGTTGAGGGTCATTGGTGTCTTTGATCTCTTTAGTTCTAGAAGTGGAGTGCTCATATAACTTTTTATCCAAACCAGGACACTTTGAGAGTATAAGGGGGCATTAATGATTATGCCAGGAAAACTGGTATATAATTTGGGACTATTCCAGACAATTGGAACATGTGGTTGCTCTATGTCTGGGTATAATAATGCACTCTCTCTCCCTTGGTATTTGGAAGAGAGAAGAACTTCTAGGGTTCATACTAGAAACCTGAGTTAAAGGGCTAATTTAAGGGTTAATTTAATATGATAGCTAATTAACTGAGAGCAAACATACTTAAATTTTACTTGATGCTTAAAGTTTGTGTTGTAAAATTTAAGGAAAACCAGTAACATTTCATTCATAAAAAGTTTAATAACATTTTTAAAAAAATGTTTAATTTTTTAAAACCCAAGAATTTCTGAGAAAACCTCTTATTATATAGAGTAATATTGCCTCATGTATGTAGAGATCTTTTATTTAGTTAAAACAATGCTATTTGTATTAAAAGAAGAGAACCTCATCAAACCTAAAAGGAGATCTCCTAAAATAGACATAAATAGTTTTCTTTCAATAGTCAGAATACTGGTTTTTATTTTCCTAAGTTGAGAGAGCTATCTATCTTTGCCTTTTGTTCCTAACTTTAGTTTCATGATTTTGCTGATCGGAAGGACTGGGATGCATTCCATCCTACTCTGGTGGCAGAAGGGCTTTTTGCATTTGCAAATGTTCTAAGTTATCTTCGTCTCTTTTTTATGTATACAACAAGCTCCATATTGGGTCCATTACAGGTAAATGATTAATGTTTCTTAAAGAATATTTGTTAGATGTCATTATTACTATATTTTTCTATTGATCCACTAGAACATTGTTGTCTCTGATGTTAAAGTTAAACTTTGCGGGGCGCCTGGGTGGCGCAGTCCGTTAAGCGTCCGACTTAAGCCAGGTCACGATCTCGCGGTCCGTGAGTTCGAGCCCCGCGTCAGGCTCTGGGCTGATGGCTCAGAGCCTGGAGCCTGTTTCCGATTCTGTGTCTCCCTCTCTCTCTGACCCTCCCCCGTTCATGCTCTGTCTCTCTCTGTCCCAAAAATAAAATAAAAACGTTGGGAAAAGAAAATTAAAAAAAAAAAAGTTATACTTTGCTTTTGAAAATAATTAACAATTGAGAGGACACTGCATGTCCATCTACTTCGCTTTTGACTGAATGATAATCCTGTGCTTTCAGGTATTCAGACTTTATTAAGCTGTGGCCCATTGTCCCTCTCCCCTCAGTTCATAGACATAGATGTGTTTAAAACGTAGTTATACTTAAGACAGTAGAGGAACATGAAAATCTTGTGTTTTGACAAAATGAATCTCACATTTAAAGTTTTAAATAGTATATATGAGGGAGGTGTTGTGCACAAAGAATTCATACTTAATGATGATTTTGAAAATATCTTTCACTTTGTTTAATAAATATTAAATGTAATAAGTTGGAAAATGACATTTTTAGGCTAACAAATTTCATAGAGTTCATGTAGTCCAGCTTTATGCCTTAAACTACTTTATAGCTCAAGAAATTGAACTTTTGAGATGGTGATTTGTTCAGAGTAGAATGGTTATTATGCATGAGGGTCCAGGACTAAATGCTAAGTCCCTTTACATTAAAGAAAGGACTCATAATTGTTTGAATTTACCACAGATTGTAATAGTGATTGTTTTTAGAGAAAGGGGATCAACTCTGGTAGGTGAGTAGCTCTACATATATTGTGAGTTATGAGTCTGAGAATCTGAGCAATATTCAGTTTTTCTTGATGAGTCGAAATTTGTTAGGAATGTAGATTTTAAAAACATTTTTAAAGGAAATATTTTTAAAGAAAAGGCATAATTATGTTCTCCAAATAGAGATATGAAAATAAAATATGTAGGAAAAACTTGGTTTGATTTGGCTTGTGCTATCATCGTGCAACAGTATTTCCTGGAGTGTGAGTTCCTTAACCAAGTCCTGATTAATTCACAGTGCACATTATCACATTAAAGCTTGTAAGAAAGAGATAAAGAAACTTGTTTAACCTTGTTCAAACTATCATGACATAAACTCATTTAATGTGATACTCATTTTTCATTAGATATGTTCAGGTCTCTGTTTTTCTCCAAAAAATAGTATGTGAAACACTGATTTAGACTGTTATTTTGATTTAATTTTGCCACTAATATCTTCTATGACTGTTTTAGTCAATAGTCAACAGTATTTTTACATGCGTGTTGTTTTGTTGCTTTTTTGTTCTTTTCTTAGCTAAAAGCTGATGATATCACTAAGTTTCTTTCTTTTTTTATATGTATCACCAAGTTTCTGTATTTTTTTAAATATATTTCTACAAAGAGTTAAAAAGGAAAAAGTATGCTATTGTTTCTTAGTGAATTATCTATTTTTCTTAGAACTATTGAGTCAGGTCTTCTGACTTAATCTCTTCCCCAAAGAACTATATAGATGTGTATACAAATACTAAATAAGTAGGTTTTTGTCATTTTCCGCTGTTGTGTTTTTCTTCTCCAGCAGGACAATTTAGATTGTTGCAATGGCCATAGAACTGACAGATGATTTAGGTGAAGCCAACAAATATTTATTGTGTTCTATTTTTTAAAAAGGTCTGCTGGTTACTCATAATATATGCTTAAACATTATGATTTAGTTAAGCAAATGATTTTTTAACATTATTGGGGCACCTGGTGGCTCAGTCAGTTAAACATCTGACTCTTGATTGCAGCTCAGGTCATGATCTGAAGGCTGTGAGATCAGGCCCCACCTCGGGCTCTGCACTGACAGCATGGAGCCTGCTTGGGATTCTCTCTCTCTCTCTCTCTCTCTCTCTCTCTCTCCCCCCCCGCACCTCCTCCCCCCCTCCTTCTTTTTCCCTTTCCGTCTCTGTCCCCCTCCCCTGCTCATTCCCTCTCTCTCTCAAAAGAAAGAAAGAAATATTTAAAAAAATAAATAGAATAAATAATCTTTAGCAAGATATGCTTTGCATACAGTAAAATAAACCCATCTTATATAGTTTGATGAGTTTTTCAAAAGTATAAATTTGTTTAATCACTACCATAATCAAGTTAGCATGTGCATCACCCCAAAAAGTTTCTTGACACCTTTTTGCATTTAAAACTCCCCTTACCCTCACCCCAGACCACTGTTGTCTGGTATAGGCTAGTCTCAGAACTGAAGGATTTGGAAATACAAATAGAATTAGTTGGTATTGCAAAGCAAATCTTCCCAGACAGAAGGTTGTCTGCAATTTTTACAGTGTTACTGTTCCTCATGGTTGCAAGCTCCCTGTTCCAAGTCATTATATCAAGTCTGTATCCTACAGAGAGAAGGGGAAAGACAGAGGGCAAAAGCCAGAAAATATGGGCCAACTGTCTTTCTCTTTTTATCAAGAGAGCAATCATTTTCCCTGGATCCCTACCACATATTTCCACTTATAACTCATTGGCCAGAATTTGGTCATATGGTCATTTGTAGCTACAAGGAAGTCTGAGGAGATGACTACTTTCAATTGCCCCCCAAAAAATCAAGGTCTGGTTAGTCAGGAAGAGAGCAAAGAATAGATATTGAATAGGAATCTATAGATTCATATTTTCAGGCTTTTACTTAAAGATATTTTCAAATAAAGACATTTGCGTTACAGTGTAGTCTTACTAACATGACAGATTTGTATTGCATAGTTCTTCCAAAATATTCTAGAAAAAGTTCTTGTAGAAAATTTAGAATACATTTTTCTTCCATTTTGTTCGTCATAAGTAAGGAACTCAATTGAAAGGGAGTAATCCAGTTATGAATGTAAAACTAGAAGTAAAATGCAAAAAAAAATTGACAATAAGTTAATTACTTTAGCAAAAGAGCAACTTTATTCCTTTACATATATAACCTGTTATGTCAGATAATGTTTTTATGTGATTACTGTGATTATCTCCATTAACTTTTTTTCCTTCCAAATATTTGCAGAAGTTGACAGACTTTTATTTTAACTGCTTATATAACCTGTGGTAAGGGTACAGATTACTCCCTTGGTTAGAGTGACCATATTTTATCATCCAAATGGAGACACTTTGGGGAATGAAAGGGATGCTATTTATTACTAACTTGGGAAAACAAGTGGAAACTGGGACTGTCCTAGGCAAATCAAGGTCACAGGAATATCATATAGTGGAATATATAAAATGGTTCTATATTCAGCAGTGGTTGAATCCTCTATTTTAGTACTTGACATTTTTATGATTATGCTCATTAAATTTGTAACTTATGTCGTAGGTAGACTGTGGAAGGTGGCTTTCTACATCTGGCCCTACTTACTTTGTAGCCATCTGTCGCTAAACTCATCTCTGTCCCTTACTGAAGTACTTCTCCATCTGGGCCAAGACCAATCAGTAATCTCACACATGTCCCATGCTATCCCAATTCCATGACATTGTTTATGTTATTACCCTATTTAGAATGTCCCACCTACTCCTCTACTTGTCAAAATTTTATTCATTCAGTGAAGTTTTTGAGTGCCTGGTAAGTACTAGACACTGAAAATACTAAAATGAGTAAGCTCTGGGGCACCTAGCTGGCTCAGTCAGAAGAGCATGCAACTCTTTGATCTTGGGGTCGTGGGTTCAGTGTTGCGTATAGAGATTACTTTAAGTAAGTAAGTAAGTAAATCTGAAAAAAAAAATTAATATGCTCCAATATCTCCTTAAAGAACTCAAGTACAGTGAGGGTGACAGGCAAGCATGACATTTACAGTGGTAATTGCTGTCATAGGCACAGCTCATAGAAAGGGCACTCACTTCAGTTTAAGGCACTTACCAGAAGAGATGACACTGGAATTAAGCCTTGAAAGATGAGTAGAATGGAGGCGGGTTAGGCATTCCAGGGAGAGGGAACATGTGCCAGTGTTAGAGCTCCTGCCTCTGGAAAATCCATTCCTATGCCCTTGCTCCCCTGCTAATGAATAACTCCATCCAGTGAACTTGGTACTTTGAACCTCCAATGAGCACTTCCTAAAGCTTGTCTTAATTGTAAGACAATTAAAATTTAGCTTGTCTTAAATTATAGACAGTGTTGTCTCTACTAAATTAAAAATTCCTTGAGGATAGGGACTGTATCTTTATTTTTTCATCTGCACTTTACTTACTGACTTGCCATAGTAGTCACTTACTATTTGATAAATTAAATGGTCTTGGGTAAAGACAAATGCTGATTGGTGTGTGAGAAGAATAAAGCTGTTGGGCTATATCTACTACCTGTTACTGGAGCTGCTTATTCAAAATAATAACAACCACCACATTTGTTTAACATTTCATGTGGGCCAGGCACTGTGCTAAGTTTTTTCGCCTTATTTCATCCTCATCACAGCCCTTGTTATTTTTATTTCCATTTTACAAATGGGGGATCTAAGGCTTAGAGAGGTTAAGTAGTTCACAGAACTAGAAAGAAGTAGTCAAGAGCTGAACCTGAGTCTGTCTGAATCCACAGACCAACCTGCTCTTCAAAGTTCTTCTGCTTTTATAAAAGAAGGATGCTACCTAATATGCTTCAGCAAATGTAAGAGTCATGATTGGACATAAATCAGTAATGTTACACGTTTTAACAAAAAAAGACGTAAAGATAGAATCTAAAAATAAAGTGGTAATTATAATAATAACTGTTAACATATGGGCCCTTACCATGGATACTATTCTAAGATCTTTATTTACATTTATTACCTCATTTAATCCTCACAGTTGTTCTAAGAGTCAGACTCTTTTATTTCCATTTTACAGAGGAAGA